TGTGTGTGTGTATAAGTATATATTTTCCTGAGGCACAAGTATAATTACAGCATTTAGGGTAATGATTTATGTCATTATGATTTGTCTAAGCTATATAGGTTGTAGGTAGAGACCACTTGATGCTCTACAAACTGATTGCTAGCAGAGCTCTGTGTGTGTATATGTATGTGTGTATATATATATATATACACACACACACACACACACACACATGTATATATATTTTTTTTATATTTATTATATATATATTAGGGCTTGATAATGAATCATAAATCATACACACACATATACATATACATGGATAATGTGATTCATTATCCAGCCCTTTTTGCTTGTTATGACATTTTTAGAAAGCTCATGTTCACGACCCAAGACCTGGCAAGGTTTTTTTTCTTTTTATCCTGATGTTGTAATCCACTCAGCATGCTTACGTCCGGGTCTTTGATGTACAGTGCACATGGTGACTTTTGCAGGACAAAAGAAATCAAGATAGGCACCCTGGGATTATTTCCTGCCACAGATCGAAATTGAGAAACATGCATGTCAGAAATACCATCCTCCTCCAGAGAAGCTCTACCGCTCTTTAAGCCGTCAACCCCGTGAGCGGTGTGTGTGTTCTAGCATGGAAACGAGTGTCTCTGACAATAGGGTTATTAGGATCTGCTCAGAGCCCAATTATACATTTGAAATCTGTTGGATTTAGCACTTTCTAACAAGCGTTGCACATGACCTAGTGATATGCGCACTCAATTATGCATCTCAAAACCGGGCCTTCTACTTTTTTTCCAAGTAATTAACTTGTGTAGAACTCAGCTCTTTGGTCAGTGAGCCCTTAGAGCGCTTTCCCATATCACTTTTGGCAGCACCATTAGTGGTCAACACGTCACCTGTCAGTTAGCCTGGGCTTTAGGAGGACAGCAGGAGAGGTTGGTGTAAGCTGAATGTATGTGCCCTGAGTTCTCCAATAAATCAATACAGGACGTGTGAGACTCCAGAAAGGAGGGGCCACCGCAGGCCATGGCTGAGATTTGAGCCTATCCTTTACAGTCAGAGGAAATGCGATCTGTCTGTGTTTGTTTCATCCATCATCTCTTTCCTTTTGTACTGGCAAAAAACCTGTATATTTTAGTAGAAATAAATTAGAATATAATGATCGCACTCACGCGGTGCATGTGCGGATCGCTTTGGGTACGGTGTTTTTCTGTGTGATTGATTGCTTCCATAGCGTTTGTAGTTCTACCTGGGGTGGTGGTAGTTGTGTTATTTTTATAAATGGGAGTTTATAGTCGAGTGAAAAGCGGGTGCCTTTGTGACTTCTCGGTATAGAGCTCTGCTAGCAATCAGTTTTTATTGTGGTAAGTGGTCTCTAACTACAACCTATAGCTTAGAAAAATGACATAAATCACGACCCTAAATGCTATAATTATACTTAGCGTATTCTTGTGCCTTGCCGTCTTGTTGAGTTGAAATTAGCGCGAGTTTATTAACTCTAGTGGGAAACGCAGACGCAATGTGGAGAACTTAATATTGTCCAACATTCGGATAAAGTGCAACAATCGGGTTAATTTTCTGATTGATTTTTATTGTTAACTTATAAACTTTTAAAGACAGTTATACTGTGAGCTCCTAGGTTGTAAATTGATGGTATATGCTTTTGTTGAAGCCATCAGTTTGTATTAGTGCAACCTATTTTTTAAAGAATCTCATTTAACAGTAGGATTCCTGGTGGAAAAACTACATTACCCATGATGCTATAAATATTAGAGAGTCACAGCAAGCAAATCGCAGCAAAAGATCTCAGCAGTAAACAAACACCCACTTCAATGAAGCACCGTGAATTTACTGTACGTACTCAAGTCAGACTCCCTGTGCTCTCAAACTGCTTAAATATTTGTATGCATATTTAGGAATAAATGTAAAATATATTGCTTCTTTATATATAATCAACATCTTTAAATAAAGTTCTCCATTGTTTTTATTTGATTCATGGGGATTATAGTCTTTTTGTCCGATTTTCAAATACTTTTTTTAGCTTCAAATACATTTTTGTAATGTTGTAATTCACCCCGTAACTGGTTGGTTTGGTACATGTTGTAAAATCCCTTATTGAAGACTTTAAAAAAAAAAATCCCTATGAGAAAAATGAATGTAAAAAATACTTCCGGAATCAACACCGCTAAAAAACCTGTGCAGGCACTGTTGCTCTTTATATACCGGTTAATAAAGTCCCTCAGAAGTTGTCATAATTTTTTTAGCTCTCTTACATTATTAGCATTAGTACGCGTGCTACCAAGCAACTGATTCCAGCTATGGATGCATGCAGGAAAAATTGACTTTAATGTCGAAGGGTTTTGTAGCATGCCATTAACAGAGTGCAGTGGAATAATAATGCGCTGTAGTTATGGCACTTGAGGAGCGTAGCGGACAAGTTAAAGGTCACGAGGGCTGAAGAGGTGCTTTGTCCTCGAGCCCATCAACATTCTTAGACAATAATGACCTTTAACAGCTTCCACAACTCTCTAAAGGTTCGCTCTCAATGTGGGTTGTAGGAACTCAATGTTTTTTCAATAACACTCACACAGCGTTGTGCTAGTAAATTTGGCGGCTTAATGTTTTATTAGCCCTGGAGTAGATCAATACTATGAGACTTCTTTGCTGGCCAAGTGCCGTCATTTCAATAACGATATCTCAAATTTAATCAAAGAAAGGATAAGCCCTCACACTACGGCCTATTAAAGATGCAGGGTTGTTAAAATTGAAAATATCCAGAGTGTACTGCTCTTTTTTACCTTAGAACAAGCGGTGCCGTATCTTTCCGCAACCCACCTTTGTCTTTTGTCTCAGTCTTTGAGCCTGATGTCGACCGTAGTTTTCACGGATACTGTCTCCCAGGCCGATGAATAATGGATCCTGAGCTGTGGCATCTGGCAGAGATAGTGTCAGGAGAGTGAGGTTAAGAGAGATTGGGGATGTTAGCTGGCTGTGTAGTTGTGTGTATGTGTGTCTTAGTCCCACATACGAGCCCGTTCTCAGTAGCAGCAGAGCTTGAAGAGACTTTAATAGCAGTGGACTGAGAGGCACGGCGAAATGGAACAGGGTATCCTAAGAAAGAGCTCTTTTAGCACCTCTCTGTCTCCCGGGATAAAACAAACCAGCGGAGGAGCGAACGAAAAGGATGAAAAGTTGTGTGGGAGAGGGAGCGGCTGTATGCTTGCTATATTGCATGGATATTAAGTCGTTTCCAAATTGCGTGGGAAGAAATTGAATGTACGCGTGTACATTTTCGCACATATTTTTTCATCAGTTGCTTACTGTTCAGTCTTTCATGAAAGGTTTCTCAGTAGATCCAGAGACCGTAGTGCGAAAGAGAACTTGAGCAGAGACTGCATGATTTTTAGGGAAAAGCCTCTTGACTTGTTTCTAGTAGACTGAATCCATAATCACTCAAATTGTCATGGTAACAGGGGAAATTGCAGGAGGTGGAATTGGTGATTGCTTGACCGAGAGAAAAGCATACGTTTAGAAGAGTTTGCATGCTATTTGGCCTTTGAATTAAACAACCTAGAAAGCTTCGGTTTATTTCAGTAGCGCTGTTTGCTAAGGCTAGGGTCATTGTTACTCTGACCCTCATAATTATATTATGACCAACGGCACAAACTGCAGGCGGGCAAATTGCGTTTATACCATAAACATTAAGTTAATGTTGAGTAACTTGCATATCATATCTTTGCTTCGCTAGTTTGAAACAAATCCACCGCAGCATAGCCTAACTGTTGTAATTCTCCTAGGAATACACAGTAGTGGTGTTTTCTGCCTGGACGAATTGGAGTTTTATTATTATTTAAACAACCATACACATTGCAACCATATGACTTGGTCAATAAATATAATATGTAAAACCAATGTTTTCTATTATGATTCAAAATAGCATTTCTTGAGTTTGTGAGTCTTTTTGAATGATTATTACAATACTCTATGGACATGATTTTGCAAATTGTGCATCTTGAAGAAAGTGTCCTGTTGTATTTAAGAGACCACTTAGCAATACCTTGGCACCTACAACACTTTAGCAGTGTAGCAAAGAGCTTTGCACTGACAATAAAAACTCAGAAAAGGTAAAAATCTAGCTGTTTTTTTCTAATCAGTGAACTTTTAATCCATTTTAGCTTCTTACAAAACCTCAAACTCATGCACTTTTTCCTAATTCTCTTGCTTTGCATATTTATAAGGTTAGCTGTATGACCAGCGTTTTTTATATATTGACCAGTGTAATGCAGTAATGTAACCAAAATCAATGCAGTGGCCTTGCAAATTACTGTTCTATAAGTTGCACAGACAGGCTCAGTCAGAAAACTTTTGATTAAATCAGACTGTAAATGTAATTACTCTTGACTTCACCACTATATATATATATATATATATATATATATATATATATATAAAATGAATATAGACATCACTTCCTGTGCACGCTGCCTCAGCAGCACATTCCATGCAGGCCCTGTGGGTTGCAGCATGAAATGGGGCTAATCCTTCCTGAAGCAGTTGTTCCTTTAGTGTTTGTGACTTCATTCCCGGGAATTTGGCGGGAATGCACAATCTGACCAATTAGCTGACGTTAGCTGGAAGACTGCGTTCCCAGCATAACTTACGATTCTTCCTCTTTGCATGACCATACTGTGACATAATCTTTACATCCCTTCTCCATCTGTGTGTTTCTCTTTCTTGCTCTCTATATGTGTAGTGTAATTTCACCTGGTCAGCTCCCGAGCGTAGAAGGAACGGACGTTTGTGTTGTTTTCTTGAAACGAGAACCGAGAGCGGATCCGGCAAACTTGGCTCACACCATAGGACTTGTAGCTGGGAACTGGGGGCAGCCAAAAACCATTTCACAGGCTAAACTGAACCAAATCGTACACCACCAAGCTATTGTATGGTGAAGAATAGCTCCCACCACCAAGCAGCAACTTCCTCTTTTGTGCCCCTCCCCTCCTCTGCAGAGTCGACTGAAGCCCCCTCCAGTGCAGGCATGGTGGCCGGAGCCATCCTGGGCAGCTTCTTGGCCCTCGTTTTGGTCGGCGCGTTGGTCACCGTGTTAGTGATGCGAAGTCGTCGCCAGCAGCATGGATATTCGGGCGACGGCGAGCAGGGCGCTTACGGCAACAAAACCCGTCTTTTTGGAGGCAAGAAGGCCAGCAAGAACGGCACAGGGGCCAACAACAACGGCCCAATCTACACGTACCGCGAAAGCGAGCCGGGAGCCCTGACAGAGAAATGCAATGAGTTCCCTCACATGACAACCAGCCCGCCAACCGCTCATGACATCCTGCTGAGCGGCGAGCTGAATGAAGCGGTGCGAAGGAAGTTCGACGCCCTGAACGACAGCTTGGAGGAAGAGGAAGAGGACGCTGAAAGGTACGACCGTTTCAGCGGACTGCCGCCCAGCTACCAAATCCACCGGCACGAGGACGAGTGTGCTCCTTACCTGGATGACGACATGGAGTCTCAACGAGACGGCTCAATCATCTCCCGGACTGCCATCTATGTCTAGAAGAATCAGATAATGCACCTGACTGATATTTACTTGACCTTTTAAAACAAAGACGGAAACGTGCCATCTGAGGAGTGGAAGCAGAATGGTTAATGTCATATCTGTGGATGAAAACCCTCATTATCGAGCAGAAAACACATTGGTTTTGCTTGCCTCACGATGCGTACTTTTAAGAGATATCATAAGTGATTTGATTGTCATGTAACTGTAACCTGTTGTTAACGCCCATTCTAGTCAGAATCCAACCTTCTGTGGTTCATTCACACCCACGAGCACAATACTCAAGCAGGCCCTTTGAAGTGAATAGAAAGCCTTGTGATTGCCCATACAGGGTTGTCAATGCTACATTGCACGAGAGGCTCAGCATCTGTGACCCAGAAGCTAAGGCCGCACTCGCCAGTTTGTATACGGCTTCTTTTATCAATCGCAGAGAATGTCGTCTTCGAGAACAGCTGGATGTTTTGTTAGCTAAACAGAAAACAGACAACGCAACGTTCGCGCCAGCATCTGGGTCATTCATCTGTGCCGCCGATCAACTCCAGTAGTGAACGCTTTTAACTTTCCCCCACAATTTTTTAGTTCTTGTTCATTAATCGGATGTCTTGTTACGCTAAAGGAAATCTCTGATTCGCTCAAGTTCTCGGCAGAGGCGTAATGGTGTTTTTTTTTCTCTTCGGACTCTCCTGTCGGCCTCTGCAGTTTGTTCCAGGCCATGTTTAATTCAGAGTGTTGTGCATTAGCTGTGAGCATTTTGGGCTGATGCATGTTCCCCATCCACCCCCCGCCCCTCGATTAATCCAGTTATATCAAAACCATAGAATGCTACATCTAAAAACTGCAGACAGGAGCACTTCAGCACGACTTCAGCCTCTCGCATTAGCACGAATCCTTCCAGGAGAAAGGCTTGGACTGTTGTTTTTGTCTTTTAACTTCACTACAACAGATTAAGTAGATTAATGCACATCATAGATCTGTGGGGAAGGCGGGGCCTTGAGAGAAAAGCAACTGATGTGCCTTTGAGTGTGGGATTATTTGGACAGCGGAGCGCGGATGGACCCCAGCAGGGACCGTTAAGCCAGGCGGCATATGTTGCCAGGTTCAGCGGAGTCCACGGTCTTGAAAAGCTGCCAGCTGTGAAAAAAGGTCAAGGGACAAGGCGCTCTCACCGTATGTTCAGCAGCGAGATTAGGACACTCACTTTACCGCATTCCTCTAGAGCGGGTCAATGGTTTGTTTTGATGCCTCACGCATAAGCCGACTTTTTTTAAAGTGACAAAAGAAGACATTTCAGACATTTTGTTAACTATGTGTGTGTAACCGTAACGGTGTGAGTCCAGATGTGGATGCATTTGTCTCCGGGTGTCGGCGAATGCGTGTTTTGCATAATATCATGCAGCTTGTATGGATGCTTTGGCAGTGCTTTGAATTACTTGAGCCGTGACTCATTCATCCTTGGTTTCGCTCATCGAGCCTTCGGTGGAGGGAGGTTAGAGCGATAATGACAAAGGAGCAACACTCTCACCAATGCGACGCAACCCAGAGAGAACTCTGTATCCAGCAAAGCAGATATAGCATGAGTAATTTGGAGATTATACTATCTGGACCCAGTGACTGTAAAGACAGTAGTTACTCTAGCCTGCAATGTTCACCCACGCTGCAGATTTGCAAGGCTGTTAATTTTTTTCCCCTCCCTAAAGCTCTTCAAGTTGCAGCACTGAAAAATAAGGATGGGAAAGCTACTTTTCTGAGAGCTGCTAAGGCCTTGACATTTTTTCGACGGAAAAAAGAAGACGCAGAGAGAGAAAATGGGGAGCTTAATGCGTCAGTCAATAGTGTGTTGTTTGCAGTAGTAAATGTATTAACTTTACCTGTTTAGTTATGAAATTGGAATCAATGTCAGGCAGATTCGTGCATTCAGAGAGGCCTGTGATGTCTTGTGAACATTTGACTTTAAAAATGCTATTCGAGACTTGAGAATACTAAAAGAGCAATGTTGCCAAATCAAGTTTTATCAACTCTTAGTATTCGTGTTTTAATAGAATCTTTGGTTGAACTTTTCTGAATGTTACTATAGAATATTAGTATTAAGGGTTAGATGTGATGCCATGTTCTCATTTGCACAATCCCAAGGCTACATAGCGATTAATTATTGAAATAATTGGGTAAAATCTGTCAAGAATATGTCTGGGTCATATTTTACTGCAGAATCTAAAGTAACTTTAATTTACATAAAGACAATTAAGTAGCATAGATACATACATACACATCACAATTTTTATCACAAAGATATTGAAATATATTACGGTAATGAAAATGTATGGAAGCATCCGTTTAATTGTGAAGAATATAATGCCATAATGCAACGTTAGACACTATATATTTATGTAACTATGTACTGAATTTTGTTGATGTTTGATTTTGGAGTGAAATATGACCTGGACTTCGCCTGGTTATCTGGTAATGTTTGAAGATGAAAGTTACCATCTATCCACGTGTTCTCAATATAATAAAACAAAACAGTATGTTTTGATAAGTTGATGTAAGTGCCTTCTGGGATGTGTTTTTAGGGTTGGAGGCTTGCCACAATTCATGCGATGTTGAAATCAAATCCCTGTATATTGTAAAGTAATGCTAGACTTAAAGACTGCAATCAATCAACGATATTAAGGAAAGAAGAAAAACAAGACTGCCTAAACAACGGCAAATTGCCCCCACGTGATGATCCTTAATTGCTCCACATTATGGTGCAAGTCATTATTAACTCATCAGCTGTGGATGCCATCCCGAGCTGGTTTAAACTTGTTATTCATTCACTCTGAATGTTGTGTTGTGCTGTCAGGTTGTGACACTATGTGTATGACGAACACTTGGACTGAACGCTGTTGCCTGGCGTCAGACTTCCTGTTTCTTTTGTGTAAAAACTGCAACTGTCCACGGTTTCCTATCACATCACGTAACTGCTGTACTACAACGAATCTTTGTCAATACTTGTGAGAACGATCTATACTCTCTTCTTTTTGTTCGTTTAGTTTGTTATATACTATGGATGGAAAACCAGTGTTATCCTGTGAGGTTTTGATGGTGTGTATTATGACGTGACGTGTCCTGTGTGTGAGATATCTATATACTGTATATGTATGTATTTATCATCAAGAAATCCAGTGAGAGAAAAGTGTTATTTATCAGCAGTGTAAATAACAGATGTAGTGGTCAGTTATGGCCAGCACCAAATATAAAAGCAGAAGTAGTTTAATAGCCCAGAGTAGATGAGAATAACCTCAGCTGCCTTGAGTCCGGTGATTTCGACAGGCGGGAGTACTGCGAGTTCAGCAGATGTAGCCTCCCCGACGCACACTAGTTAGTTAGTAACTGACTCGCGGCCTGTGTTGAAGTACAGTACAGATTGACGTTCGCACACAAACTTTTTGCACTGACAACTTTTTGCTCTCTCAGCCCTCAACGACATGGCACACACTCTCAGCATGACAAGACTTCAACACTAGATAAACACACACACTCACTCGACTGTAGCGGGCGGATCTTACGCACATGTCCTGGTCATATGACACCCGTGACTCGGAGGAAAGAAATAATACATTACATTTTGTTTAAAGACTATTGTTCCAACGGTCATGGAGAACCTGGAAATATAAGGACCTTTTCAAAGTGGGATTTCCGGGCCTAAAAAAGGGCATAATTATTTCATGACTTTAACAATATTCATTTTATTAGATTTATTTTATTTAATCTGAATTTATTCAAAATATAAAATACAAATATATCACTTTTAAATTAACTTGAGTAAAACGTAAATGTTTTAATAGTTTAAATTTTAGTTGAGTTCATTTTTTAATGTACTTTTATATTTTGAATAAATATATTTTTTTCAATATTGTAATGATTGTGGCATAGAAAACATGCATAATTGTTATGCAAAATAATGGTACAACACTAAAAATCATAATGGTCTTTTTCATAGAAAAATATAATACATTTTTTTCATTGAAATTCATTGGTCAAATGTGCATCATTTTTTCATGACTGTAACAATCTTTATTTTATTACATTTCATCTGAATATTTGAAATTAAAATATTAATTTCAAATAAAAAATCACTTCAAAATTACCTCAAGTAAAACGTAAATGTTTTAATGGTGGAAATATTTTACATTTTAGTTGAGTTGTATTTTTATTTAATATTTGGAATAAATCTTGGAAAATATGCATAGGTTTTATGAAAATAACGAAACAATGCTAAAAAAAAATCATAATTTTTCCTATAAATAGCTAAATAAATTCCTTGTATTGGGCTGAAATCTTAAATCTTAAATTTTATTAAACTGAATATTTAAATTTTAAAATATTTATTCCAAAAAAAAAATACATCACTACAAAATTAACTCAAGAAAAATGTAAATGCTTTAATGGTGTAAAGAGTTTACAGTTGAGTTATTTTTGTAATGTATTTTTATTTGTTTATATCCAGTATTTCAATGATTATATTGCATAATTTTCATGAAAATAATGGTACAATGCTAAAAATCATATCATTTTTTCTTATTTACTTTTTATTTCCTGTTGATGTTGGGCTGAAATATGAACCAGGCATGTTTTATTGTTTTGTTTTTTTGTGAGATTCGCCCTCAAATCACCCCGCGCACACTGTGTCCATCAAGGATTTATTCTCCGCAGTTAAAATCAACGTGAGAAACTATTACGCTGACATACACCAGTATTATCCAGTTTAGTAAAAGACATTATGAAGATTCATATTAGTTTCCTCCGTTCCTCACTGGTCATGGGGTTTTATAACCCTGAAAGACTCCAGATGAAGTGGGAAGCGCTGAGGCACTAATCCTCTCTGAAAATGGTGCCGCAGCGGGCAGAACACTGCCAGGTTAAAACCCAATGTTTCTGGCATACAATTACGCAGCCTGTCCGCGGCCACTACTCTTAATTTTTGACAACAGAAATGGGTTATGGCATCTCCAGTTTGCATCTGCCTCTAGTCTCAAAGCAACTCGGAGTCATTAGGCAAAATTGCGGTTCCATGTGTTTTCATTGCCTGTTCCCTCTCATCAGCTACTTGTGA